ATTTTTGTTCCGTTTGAGCCACTGAATAAAATGTAGGTGTTTTTCCCCTCTATGAGCCCCATATTCTCCTATATAATACTGTACGATCCATAAACACTTGATTTATCAAATATGATAATGAACAAAAAACACATGCAAACTTTTTTTTTTTTTTAGATTTTATTTTTATATTTTGTCTAAAGATTTAATAAACAAATATTAGATTTATCTGACTTATTTTATATGTCAGGCTTTACGGGGTTAATTAAGCAACTATTCAGGAAAACACTTTATTTTAAGTTATTGAAAATAGCGCGGTGTGGTGTTGGACCTCTGACATTTATGACTGTTCAGAGCTCATAACATCACAAGGCCCGTGTAACCGTAAATTTCAACACTCACTATTTTTTTTTATCCCTCTCACATACACACACATTAAACATAACTGACCATTCTATTCTTGAACGTTATGAGACCCCCATAATTAAAAGTTGTGACCCTCTTTGTTGTGCTGGGTGTATCCTGGCAACCGCATGCAGACATATTGAAGAATTGGGTGTCATATCGACCTGGGACACTGAAACTCTCTGTCTATGTCACACTGACACTCAAAGGGCTTCCCCAACGATGAATGGAAACTTTCTAGTGTTACAAAAGCATTTCGAGATAAACAGGATTGACTTCAATGGAGTTTCTTTATTGTTCAGTGAGACTTTGTGTTTATCTCCTAGGAGTTTCCCTGGCTGACACGTTCAAATCTGTAGAGCTGAGAGAGATATCGGATGAGATCGGATCATGTCTTGATGACCTAACGCTGTTTCTTATACTACATTTGGTCAATTTACTGTAGGTGGCACCACTTCCTGTTAAAAGGAAAACTGTATAATTTAACATGATCTCAGTCTCTGCTGACTGAAATTAATTTTCATAGATTCCAGTTCTTCTTTCTATAAATACTTAAATGCATAGTTCATCCCAAAATAAAAATTCTGCCATCATTTACCTCGTCGTTCTAAACCTTTATGACTTCACATATCCTGTGGAACACTAAAGTAGAATTTTTCTGAAGAATTTATGCGCCTCTTTCCATACAACAACAGTTCATAGGGTGCTGCAAGAATGAGTTCTAAAACCTGGAAACAACTTTTACGTTTACACTTCCAGTTCCATCGTCCTGAAGTCAGTAGGTTATTGGTTAAATGCCTGAAATTAGGTCTGTGGTTCACACAAACTCGAGATACAGTATTGTCCCATTTCATATTTTCTGCAGTAATCCAAAAGCCAATGGAAAGATCTTACTGACTTTTAGTCGAGGTAACCACGGTGATGCTAACTTCCAGGTTGGCTTACAAAAAAATCATCCCTGCAGCACTTTGTAGTGACCATGTCTGTTAAACTCCAAAAAAGCGCTAAAAAGCACCATAGAATTAATGAATGTGATTTGTGCACTATATTTGTACTACGAGCTTCTAAAGTTATTGTTCACTGATAATATTCACATCTACCATGCATTCTTTTGTTCATCTTTGTAGCTTCTTAGCTGTAGTCACTATGAACTGTCATTCTGTGGATTAGAGCAGCGTGAAGTTTCTTCAAAATATGCATTTATTTTATTTGTTTGTTCTTTTTTCTTGTGTTTTTCCCCCCAAAAGTCATACAGGTTTAGAACAACATGAGGGTGAGTAAAAGATGATTTTGAGGTGAACTACATGCAGATTTGTAGCATTTTCCTTTAAATGTTAATGAGCTCTGCTGACCCCGCCCCTCTCTTCCGAGCCGCTCTCTGAGGGACTGTTTACTTCAGCCGCATTCATCGTGAAACTTGCTAATTAGCACATTATTAGGAAAGGCGATTTGCAAAGATTGTTTTGGTGAAACAATGGCGGACTGATGACAGCTCACATTTAGGGCGGGCCTAAGGTAAGACGCCAGTCCAGTCTGTGCTGAAAACGCTACTGTCAATCAAACTATCGTGGGAGTGACGTCACACAGACAGGCATCTGAGATCGGCTCGATTTGAGAAAGGGGAAAACATTTAACCAGATTTAAAAAAAAACACTGGGTGGATTTTTATCATTATAGCGTGGTTGTGTACACACACTGCCAACACACATTTCAGTTCAAACAACTTGTAAAAGTGCATGTAACATCCTATGACCCCTTTAAAGAGAAAATGCTTACATTGTCTAATAACAAATTAAGAGACATTTGGCAGTTCAGACTATGTATATTTGATAAATTTTCATTCCCACTGGACATTTACATTTGTATTTTAACCTCTCCTCATCTAATCTCAGGTCATTGTTGTGTGCACTGTTCCGGTGGGCTTCTGTTTAAGCTCATCTCTGTCTCTGGGTAATTGAGGTCTTCTGGCCTCATCTTCTGCTCTTTCATACAGTATCATTACTGTGCTGCTTTATCACAGAGCACGAGAGCTTCTCCTTCTTGGCCTCGACAGATCGCACCGTCTTCACATTTCCAGGTGTGGAAATGTCCCCAACAGTTTTACAGCATATAAAAGACTTACTAAAAGAACCATTTGCACAGCCAAATCTGAAAATGTTTGAAAAGGTGAGAATGAAGAGTTTGTACGAAAAGCAGCCACACTATAAAAGCCTTATAATTTTTAAGATTATTGTGCACAAACAAAAATGGCCTTACTTGCTGTACATTGTTACTGTATAAAGAATTATCGTTGATTTGAAAATATTTTTCTAATCACAACTTGATAAGAAACAATTAATGTAATTTGATGTTCTTTGAAAGATTTTGTTTCTAGCAGAAGTGGTGGGAAATTAAAACGTGAATCATAAGAGCACATCTCTGCTTGTCTTTCTCTCCGTCTCCCTTCCTGTCTGTCGTCTTTGTTCTGCACTCTGTCTGACTGGAGACGTTTACAGACTGCATTTCCCATCAGGCTTTTAAACGGCCCTCTTCATAATTGCTCTGTCATTAATTCTGAGGGAAAGAAAGGCGCCAATAAATTGTGAGTAGTGGTTGGCGATAAGTCCTGAAAAAACAGGACACGGAGAGGGAGGGTGAGTTAGATGAGAGGGGCTGGAAAACAACTGTGATATTCCACTACAGAGCATGCAGGCTAATTCTGTCATTTTATGCATGTGTGTACATCACATGCCAGTGGCAGACCGTCTCAGATTTAAGTCGGACATTGTAGATGCTCACATCAATTTTGATAAATACAAATTTGATAAACACCAGAGTGTAGTTTTGCCTTCAGCAAATTTGATTTTATGTCATTCTATATAAACTGAGATTACTGCATCTTGAAAACAAATTTGTGCTGATTTGAAAAAAACTTCCCATTACAGCTTTAATGCACTTATAAAACAAAAGCAGTTTTAATAACAAAAATGCATATTTAAAGGGTCATGGAACCCCCCCCCCTCTTATTATTAATCCTATTATTATTGTTTTATTATTATTATTTTATTTTTTTATATTGTAACTGCTTCCTTATTTGTTGACATAATGTTCTCATTTAAAAAAAAAACGTCACATCTTGTGACGTCACCACGATGTATATTTTAAACCCGAAAATTTGCCGGTTTTTTTTCCTATAGTTAAAGCTAACATTGTCTTAAATGATGTTCAACACATAAATCTGTTAAAATCTCAGGCAATTTAGTTTAGGGTTTCATGACCTTTTAACTTATCGTTTATTATTTTAGTATCACTGAGATGCTATTATACAGTAGTTTCATTAATATTTTAAATCAGTTTTCATTTATATATTTTTCATTTTAATTTTAGTTACAATTTTATTCATTTTGTTGTGTGTCTATATCAATTTTAGTATTTTTGGAGTTTTCTATATATGTTTATATCGTTTTTTAAATACATTTTTGTTTTAGTTATTTTAGTACATCAAGTACTTCATTTAAATACTGTAATAACCCTGCTTACGATCTGAAGATTGGAAAAATATGTTAAAATATTCCATTTAATGTCAAAGAACTTTATATACACACAAGTTTAGAAATAAGCATTTTTTCAATAAGCAATTTGCTGTTGCTGTGTGGATGTAGTTAACAGGGTTATCTCAAATAAAACCATAAAAAAATTACTTAAAATATAAGAAATGCTTTATTTCAGCTAGTTGCCAAAGCAACATTTCACATTTTAATTGAGTGTAACTTGATGTACTAAAATAACTAACTAAAACTGAAATAAAAATGAATAAAAACTATATAGATGTATAAAAAAACCTACAAAAATGACAAAACGCAACAAAATGACTACAGCTTTAAAATTTTAATTAAAATGGAAAATATAAAAATAAAAAATGATTCAAAATAATAATACAAACTATAATAGTATCTCAATGATACAAAAATAACAATTGTAGTAAAACAGATATAGCAGAAAACAGCTGGGTTATGTTTTGCATTTTCTTCTGTCACTGGCGATAATTCTAACATTGAAAACAGGATTAGTCATAAAATAATATGTTCAGAATCATTCATATATGAGAGAGAATTGAACAAATAGTTCTAACCCGGCTCAGAGGAAGATATAAAAAAAACTTCTCAAAGGAATTAAGTGATAATACAAAACATCTTCACCTTGCAATAATTCTCAAAAGCAAAAAAATGCTACAAAATGCATATCAAATTTTGTTGAGAAAGTGTAACATGCTAAAGCAAAATAGGCACTATTTTGGAATCAGCTCCCTAAATTTGGTAAGAAACAAGTTTTGGATTTCATTCAGCAAACTTTGCAGGATGGTGTTATCAATAAATGAATGGTGGTAGTTCAACAATGCCTCTGGCATGACACCTTGTCATTTCAATGTCATTTCTATCCATTCTGTTTTGTTTTCCCTGTCCATTTGAGGCAGGGGAAACAAAGACAGCGCTGGCAGTAGTAACAGGCTAATATTGGTTACAGAGGGCAGCTGACCGGCTGCCTCCTGTATATTTAGCTCAGGGCCAATACATGGGAGAGGTGTAACAGACATTGGCTGGCCTTCACTTCTCCTAAAGGCGTGGATCTAGTGTGTGTGTGTGTGAGAGAGAGAGAGGTGTAGTGCTGGACTGCCTCAGATCACTCCTCGGTGCTATTGGAGGTAGACCGCAGCCGGCAGCATGATTCTGTTCACACTTGGACTATATTTTCAACTCCTCTGCTATGTGGCGTCATTCTCTTACGTGGATAATATATTCCCTCATCCAACAGGTAAGACATCACTGTCTTCTGCACGTTTGGTATGCTGATATTAGAGGTTTTCTCTAACAGAGTGAAGTATGTTTGCACATGATATGCAAATCAGACTGTTTGCACCAAAAAAAATATATATATATTTGATAAGACTCAGTTGGTATTTTTATGAATCATGCAAATTAATTGCAATTGCAGAGTATTCATAACATAAATACGTTGCACTGCTCTTTATGAAATCTTTACATTTGTGATATATATTGTGTGAAAACATATAATACGCTCTTACGTGGATAATATATTCCCTCATCCAACAGGTAAGACATCACTGTCTTCTGCACGTTTGGTATGCTGATATTAGAGGTTTTCTCTAACAGAGTGAAGTATGTTTGCACATGATATGCAAATCAGACTGTCTCTGGTTATTATCTCTAAAAGCAAAAAGGCTGTGTTTCAGTTTTGTCAGCCAACACTGCAGTGAAAAGTTTAATTGGGCAAGTGCTTGTTTTTGCAAAGTTAACATCTTTCAGGACTTTCTATTTTAATGTACCGTTATTGATTGATTGATTTAAATGTATTTTTAATATGGTCACTTTTTGCTTCTGCACACAATAATTGTCAGTTTAATGGGCTATTTTTTATACTTATGAATCATGCAAATTAATTGCAATTGCAGAGTATTCATAACATAAATACGTTGCACTGCTCTTTATGAAATCTTTACATTTGTGATATATATTGTGTGAAAACATATAATACGCACTCTGATTAAAATGCTTCCCAGTATTAAAAGATATGCTTGAATGTTATGGGGGGGAATTTCAAGTAAAATTTGGCCTGTAATGAAAATCAAGTAAATATTTTGCCCTTATTTTGCGATAAATGTCCCTACAGGCATCAATGACTTGTCTCTGGTTATTATCTCTAAAGGCAAAAAGGCTGTGTTTCAGTTTTGTCAGCCAACACTGCAGTGAAAAGTTTAATTGGGCAAGTGCTTGTTTTTGCAAAGTTAACATCTTTCAGGACTTTCTATTTTAATGTACCGTTATTGATTGATTGATTTAAATGTATTTTTAATATGGTCACTTTTTGCTTCTGCACACAATAATTGTCAGTTTAATGGGCTATTTTTTATACTCGTGTGTGTGTGTGTGTGTGTGTGTGTGTGTGTGTGTGTGTGTGTGTGTGTAAAAAGTGAAAAAGGGCACTGAGGTCATAATTCATGAGTATCATTGCACCATTTATTTTATAAGCTAGACTTTTTACAGCAAAACTATTCAAAGCACGTTAGGTTTCAAATGATAAAACAATACATATTCTGTTCAGTATGACAACAAAAAGTGGTTGTCAGATGTAAGTAGTTCATATTCATATTAAATGCAACTGTGAACTTGAGAAGTGATTCACTAAAAATCCCATTGACACCAGCTGATGCCTCATAAAAATGAAGTTATTTGTAAGAAAAGCTCCGGCATTACATATTTGCTGAGAAATCTTTAGTTTCAGTAATGGAGGGCCTTTCATTACACTCCTCATTTCTTGCACCTGAGAAGTGTCATAGTATCAAACACACAGTCATGTGTTTCAGTCCCTCTTTTCCAAGACAGTGGAGTGAAACAATGTTCTGCTGGACCACGTGTCTGTTGACATGTTGCTGTTCATGAACCTTATTTCCCCTCATCTAGATCTCCAGTTGCTGGAAACCAGAAAGAAATTCAACCCCTGCTGTTTACTGAGTCCACCTCCGCCCCCTCTCTTCCCTCCACCCCAGTCACTGTGGCGGCAGGGCCCTCTGGTGAGTCCTGATTCATGACAACTGATCAAGCACCTGGATTTCATGTGTAGGTTCCAGGTACTTCAGGGTTCAGGGTGTCAATAAGTACATTCATTTGTCCCCATGACCACAATATTCTACACTCTCAGAAAAAAATGGTAAAAAAGCTGTCACTGGGGCAGTACCTTTTCAAAAGGTACACTTTTGTACCTTTTAGGTACTAATATGTACACTTTAGGTACTAATATGTACCTTTAAGGTACCAAGATGGACATTTTAGGTACAAAGGTGTGCCTTTTGAAAAGGTCCCGTCCCAGTGACAGCTTGTGTACCTTTTTTTTCTGAGAGTGTATGGTGATAAAGAAATATAATAAATGTAAATAAAAGTCAAAGGAAGTTAATGTCTGTTCAAGACTGAAACTATTTATGGACTATTTTTTATTTCCCATTTTCCCATTTCCATCAGTATTTCCAGATGTAATTTTCTATGACTTATCTTATAGACTGTGACTGTTGTTCCACCAAATGAATGGAACTCAGAAGGGAAGCACAATCCCACACCCCCCATGTGTTCCCCAGGGCCTCCAGGACCAGCAGGACCTCCTGGCCCTCAGGTATGTGCTTCAAATTTTAATGTTGAGGACAAAACTACGTAGATATGTCCAACTATGAAACAGCTGACTTTAAGGTGTATTAACATACATTTTTGGAACAAAAATGTACAAGATTTTTAAATGAAAGCATGCATCAGCTTTTTTCATATTGAGTGAAATGTCATACCACAATTATCTGTAGTTGTTCTGTTTGGAGACTAGTTTAATTGTGTACACAGTTCAAATGGCAAAGACTGTGTACAAGAACATTTGACAAACTAGATAGAAAGAAGGGCCAATGAGAAAAAAGAAAATCTTATTTAGATTTGTTTAGATGTTCAGAACATACTAATGTATTCATGTTGCTTTCATATGGTTTTGAAAACCTTTTATACCATTTTTATACCAGTTTCAGTTTAATGCTTTAAAATGTTATGTGGCATAAACATGTGGGTGTACACATCTTGATCAATTTTTTTTTTTTTTTTACAAGAATCATGAATTATGTATTAAACTGTATGTGTTTTTTTATAAGAATTAATAATTCATTAATTATGATTAATGTTTTATTGCACCACATGACATTTTGCAACCTAAACTTGCCATTTCATAAAAAGGTCAAATTACATATAATTTTTTTCTGCATGTTTCTAAATGTTGGCCACTCCACATGACCTTGATTTGGTAATGTGAAAAAAAAAACTATTTCAAATATTTAAATTAGTGAAGCAGTTTGGTTAAAATATTCATACTGAGAAATACTAATAAACAATTAGGCCAAACTACTTAAGATTTTATTTTCAAAATTGTAATTCTTTTAATGAGATTTTTTCCTTCATTATGATATCAGGACAGTTGTATCACCCTGATTTATTGTCCTCATTTGTAAGTCGCTTTGGATAAAAGCGTCTGCTAAATGAATAAATGTAAATGTAAATTTCAGAAATTTAAAACCTAACCTAACCCATCATAGAAGAGGATTTATTAATGCAATTTTTATTTTTTATTTCTGAACATATGAATTGATCCAGACAATAATGTCATATCAGTTACCCATAAGCTATTTTTACATGTACAGACCCTGACAAACTCAAATAGTAAAAACTGTCTAACACATTTATAAATCAAAGCGAGTCACATGCAGATTTGCTGAGGATTGCGTAGTTGGTGCTTCAAGGAAGCAGAGTATTGGGTTGTCACAATGGTCAGTTCCAGCTCTGTAATTAGCCTTCATAACCCTCTCAGCATGTGAGACCCGTGTGAGTTCCCCAGACGTCTTTCTGTAGTGACACGGATGTGACCAGTTTGGCCCCCACGACACAGCAAGCCATTAACGCGCCACATTTAGAGCAGATAGAAATAGATCTTTTTCCATTGCCAGCCTCTGCTCCATCGTACCATTCTTAGAAACAACCCCAAGAGAGACGCACACAGACACTCAAAACCCCAAGAGAGAGTTCACCCTTGCCCTGCAAGTTCAGTCCAATCTCAATACAGTTTCATTTCTGTCATAGGTTATCAATTATGTAGCTAATATTATTGAGGTTGTCAGCCAAGAACATTATAAATGCATCCTGTTCCAATACAGTCATACGTTTTAAAGATGTAGTACATAAGGAACTGTAGGGAAGCCATTCATGGGCTGATTTCCTCAAAAAGTATAAATACTGTGGCTCTGTGGTGCTTTGATCATTGTTTTGTTCACTCCGCCTGACACAGCAAAAATCACAGCAATCAGTGAAGTGAGTTTGAGGTGGGGCTATCATTTTTGTGTCAACCAATGGAAGGCAGGAGAAGTATTTGGTAAACCTGTTTGTCATTATTTTGGCATTATAAGTTCTAGTAAACACTCTTTGTCAAAACAAATATATATGGTTGCTGTGGCTTTAGCCAGATGTTTTGGATAAGCATTAAACAGTTATGTTTGTTTTTTGATCAGGGTCCTGCTGGACTGCCAGGACCAAAGGGACCAAAGGGAGATAAGGTACGACACATACTTATGTAAATATATACATACACAAACAACAGCATGAAAAACAATTAAGAACAAGAGAGAAATGAGGCTGACTAAGTGGTCCAGTTAGTTAAGGAAGCAAAATAAGATTGTATTTAAATTATTCTTGTTATGGTTACAGTTTATTTTATAGTCCTAATCAGCATGTACATACTATGTACTTATTATAGTAATTACAATAACTGTGTAATAATAAATAGGTACTAACACTGAACCAGGTTCAGAAAACACAAAAGAAGAACTGTTTTTGGCAACAACAAAAAAAACATTCTTAAAAATGTCGTCTTTTGTGTTTTGCAGAAGAATGAAAGGGTAAACTTGCACAAGAAATGATGACTTTATAAACTATTCCTTTATAAACTATTCAATGACTCTCAAGACTCTGTATATTGTAACACACTGATAAACTGACTCTGTTCTTATTCCCTCCTCCCCTCCTCTGTGTTGCAGGGTGAAATTGGAAGACCTGGACAAAAGGTGAGACTCACTGACCTGTGTTTTCTAATAAGTGGATTTACTTTGAAAAAAAGGGAAGAAGAAGGAATGTGAGATGCACACACTTTTACAGCTGCAGCATAATGTGAGCTGAAGGAAAGTCAATGCAAGCCCAACACTGACACAGATACGCAGGTCACATGATTCCTTATGATCTTTTGTATGTTATATGCAGCAGAGAGCTAAACATCAGGGGACACTTGTGGTCACCATCATTAGGTTCAATCTGCAATGGATCATCCCCATTGCTCCTGTCCCTCAATCACATTGTGAGCTTGTGTGGTTTCCTGGAAGGCATTTGGGACCAGGGTCAGTAATACCTACAGCGGGGCTGTGGGTAAACCGAGAAGCCACTAAACCACTGCACAGGATTTTGGGTGTGCTGGTGCATTGTTTTACTCCAGACAGGCACTGAGAGTGGAGTGCTGCTGGTGTAGGAAGCTTTGCAGCATTGCATAGTAATTTAGCTTAGTGCTGGGGCAGCCCAATAAATCATTTGCTCTCCCACAATGCCCGGCTCCTGCCCTTAGCACATGATTTAATTAAAGCCAGGAGATTGATGGGGCTTGGTTTAGTTTGTTCTCTCTCTCTCTCTCTCTCTCTCTCTCTCTCTCTCAATTCAATTCAATTTTTTCCCAATTCAATATGTGCTTTATTGGCATGACAACTGTTACAATGTATTGCCAAAGCATAGTGTTTACATTGAATCTAGAACAGATATATATGCAACAAAAACATGCATGTATATACATTTAAAAAGTAGAACAAATTAACATTTTAGAATTCTACGTACAATTTATAATTCAATGTTGTGTGTGTGTGTGTGTGTGTGTGTGTACAGGTTTATATATCCTGGTGGGGACTTAAACCTGAATACACACAGACTCATGGGGACTCGTGTCACGGTGGGGACCTAAATTGTGGTCCCCACGGGTACAAAAGCTTACAAATCTTATAAATTGAAAATCTAAAAATGCAGAAAGTTTCCTGTGAGGGGAAGGTTTAGGGGTAGGGTTGGTGTAGAGCAATAGAAAATACGGTCTGTACAGTAGAAAAACCATTACGCCTATGGAGAGTCCCCACAAGGATAGCTGACCAGACATGTGTGTGTGTGTGTGTGTGTGTATGTGTGAAATTATAGCCACCTGAATTGAAAAAAAAAAACTC